GTTTAGAATGGGGTGCCTCAAGACTATCCATAATTTTAAAGGGTGCCTCGGGACTGTCTGTAATTTTAAAGGGTGCCTTACCTAAAAAAAAGGTTGAGAAACACTGGTCTAGTGTATGGGCACCATAAAGTATGATGGCTGCATACGTTTTTTTTTATAGTCTTTTTTCTTTTATTTTCACCCGATGATCCTGCAAATAACACATTTCCTGTCCTGGGGTGACAACTAGTGGCGGACTGACAACTCATGGGGATCATGGGGCCCCTGTGTCCTTGCTCAAACTCAAAAAAGCCTATGAAAAAGGTACCAGTGGCATCTCATGGGGTTCCCTACTGACCCCGGGCCCTCGGGCAGTGCCTGAGTTTCCAAATGGTCAGTCTGCCCCTGGTGCCAACGTTCACTCACCATGGAGGAGCAGCGCTGTTAGCGAAATAACTCTCAGGGAACCCCTGCTAAAATGACTGTATGGTACGGAACCCGCAACATTCTGGTGTGAACAGGCCCTAAATGTAGTATTCCAGGGAAATGAGGACAGCTAAGAGCAGGGTTTCTCAACCAGGGATCCATGGAATCATAGGGTTCCTCCAGAGGTTGCTAGGGGTTCCTTGAGCAATTTCTGCCTCTCAGATAAGTTCCCATTCAAACCATTGATCTTTTTAGCGATCTATAAGGTTGGTAATGGGACCGGAGACAGAACCCAAATACTGCATCCACATCAGAGTAAAAGCCTATAAAACCAGATATAATGGTATGAAATGGTCATGGCCCTTTATTATTGGTATAGTAATAACAATTTGACCAATAATAATGATTTATTCATAACAGTAAGTATAGTTACACTAACTACTCCAAATAACCGAGGTACTTGTTTAAACATATAAATAGTTCAGCTAGTACAGCTCAAACCATCAATCAGTTACAAATCAATAAACTGCGCCCTTCAGCAGAAGGGACAAGACCACACAATAAAGGACCGCAACAATGGGCAGGAGGGAGGGATCCATCTTCTTCTGCCGGCACCGCCACTCTAACACCAACTTCTTTCTTCTTATAGGTACCTTGGGTCACCTGACTAACAGCTGAACATTCCAGAAGATTTAACCACTTGGCAACCGCGCTATAGCCGAGTGATGGCTACAGCGCGGTTGTCCAGTTCTGGGAGGGCGTCATATGACATCCTCCCAGAACGCGCTGTCCCGCGCGCCCCAAGCGGCATGCACCCGACAATCTCCGTGATTGCTGTGTCCTACGGCCACAGCTGATCACGTGATGTAGTAAAAGGCCAATCACTGTACTAGTCACAGGGAGGAACAATGTGATGGTCAGGTTTGAACAGGCAGAGATAGCAGGAAAAAAACTAGGAAAGGGTTAATAAAAATGATCACAAATCGCACATATTTAGAACACACCTGCGTTTTGCTGTGCGATTTCTTTTGTAGTCTATGTATGTGAAGTCACAACAAACTGCAGGAAAAGTAATACAAGAACTACTTTTAACATCGCGCTGCAGAAAATCACGTATGTTAAGACACATTCACAATCATTAGATCTGATTTCAGGTATGATTTCAATTCAAAAATCGCACCTGAAATCGCGGCAGTGTGAACCAGGGCTAAATGAACAAGCTGAGGTTAGAAGCTGATTGACTACCATGCGCAGCTGCACCAGATTCTGAGTGCTCCAGTTTTAGTAAATCTGCCCCAATGTTTATGAGGTCTTACCTAATCTATTCAATCAATTTGTATCCAATCTGACAGGCCCTTTCACTACATAGTGGTTGGTAGATTCAATGTTTGTAGATTCAAACACTTCAAATATATTGCCCAATGGATGTGCAATTCAGTCACAATGATTGAATCAACAAATAATCAAAAAACCATAGCTTCACTCTGATCAAGTAACACCCCAGTCACATCGGGTGCGACTTGGCATGTGATTTGCATGCCATGCGACTTGCAAATCGTATGCCAAGTTGCACCCTATTGTCCTCTGTTAGAGCAGTCATATCGGTGCGGTTCTGACTTGGTCGGAGCCGCACCAATTTCTAAAGTAGAGCATGCACTACTTTTGGTTCGATTTGCATAGACATCGGTTTCAGATGTCTTGCAAATCGCACCTCAAATCAGCAAGTCACCCAACTTTGAAATCGAACGACTTCACTGTCAGTCGCATGATTTCAGAATCAGCTTTGATATGACTGGGATGTAAGACTCGGTTGAGCTTGCTAGAAATTCTGTATATAGTCCTACAGAACAGACAGTGCAAAGTCCACATGTGCTTTTCTGCTGCTTTCCTGCTAAAAGGAAACAGGAAACTTTATTCAGAGAAAAGACATAAAGTATAATACCATAGATCAGGGGTCTCCAAACTTTTGAAACAAAAGGGCCAGTTTACTGCCCTTCATATTTTAGGAGGGCAAGATTGTGGCCCATGAGAGTGGAAAATGCCCTGGCATCAGAGGAAGTAAACAATACCCTAGGCTTGGTGGTCAGTGGGAGGAACAGTGCCCCATCGTTGGTGTCAGTAGGATAATTAGTTCCACATTTCTGGTATTAGTGGGAGGACCAGTGTCCCTTCGCTGGTGTCAGTGGAACAGTGTCCCGTCGCTGGTGTCAGTGGGAGGAAAGTGCCCCATCGTTAGGATCATTGGGAGGAACAGTGCCCCGTCGCTGGTGTCAGTGGGAGGAACAGTGCCCCATCGTTAGGATCATTGGGAGGAACAGTGCCCCGTCGCTGGTGTCAGTGGGAGGAACAGTGCCCCGTCATTAGGATCAGTGGGAGGAACAGTGCCCCGTCATTAGGATCAGTGGGAGGAACAGTGCCCCGTCTCTGGTGTCAGTTAGAGGAACAGTGCCCAATCATTAGTCTCAGTGGGAGAAACAGTACCCTATCATTGGTGTCAGTGGAAGGAATAGAATCCCATCAGTGGTGTCAGTGGAAGGAATAGCGCCCCATCATTGGTGTCACTGGAAGGAATAGCATCCCATCGTTTGTGTCAGTGGTTAGAATAGCGCCCCGTCATTGGTGTCAATGGAAGGAATAGTGCTTCATATCAGTGGAAGGAAAAGAGTCCCAGGGGCTGGATAAAAGTAAGCAAAGGGCCACATCCGGCTCGTGGGCCGCAGTTTGGAGACCCCTGCCATAGATGCAGCTACAAACCTATAAACACTGACATCTACTGGCCGAAGAATATATCTCTACTGAATACTGATGTAGTTGCACAAAATAAATGAACACTGTATTCCAACAAGATTCAATCAAACCAAGTCTATCAACCAGTGCAGAAAATGATTGACCTTCAATCAATCAGCAAAACTGAGATGCTTTGGTTATAAATCCAACTGTATTTCGACCAATCAGATTATTAGATTGCATTGTAGAAACAGAAATGTGATTAATGATTTATGATTGCATCTTTCAACTATCAGTTGAATTTCATTTCCCCATGTTGTGACATATCTATTATTTGGGTTGTTGATGCTAGAGATTACAGGTGTACCTCATTTTACAAATGCCTCAGTTAACGTAACTTTCGGTTTACGAATGAAAATCCATTGAAAGTAATGCCTTGGTTTCCGAATATTTTTTTCGCAATACGAAACAAGTTTCCCTAGGATGCAATGCACGTGGGAGGTTCATAGCGCCGGCCCCGTGCTTTTAAAGTGCACTTTATAAAGAGTTTTGAACAGATAAAACTTTTTTTTACTTTTTTCTGATCTCCGGAACGGATTCATTGGTTTTCAATGCATTTACAAATTTTTTTCCCAATACAAAGCAAGTTTCCCCAGGATGAATTGTGCCTGGGAGGTTTATAGCACCGGCCCTGTGCATGCTGGAGTTTGTAGGTTGCACGTGGTGTCAAGTGTGGAGGTGTTGGAGCAGGTTTTGCATCGAGTTTTGGAGCCATTCTGGAAAATTTTAATCATGTCCCTGTACAGTATTTATGCCTTTAAAGTGCACTTTATAAAGAGTTTTGAACAGATAAAGACTTTTTTTTAAACTTTTTTCTGACCTCCGGAACGGATTAATTCGTTTCCAATGCATTCCTATGGGAAACTGCATTTCGGTTTACAAATTTTTCGCTATACGAAACACCCCGGAGAACGCATTAAATTCGTAAACCAAGGTATGCCTGTATTCTTATCTGGAGTGATTGATCAGAAATTAATTTGATCATTTATCAAAGTGTGTATGCCCACCGTTAAGAAGATTGTACAATCAGATTGTAAGGTGTGTGGTGAGTTTTGGGCCGGTATCTGTTGTGAGGGGTGGCATTTTGCATTGTTACAGTGCATGCACTGTTTCCTTAATTTCTTTTTTTTTCTTACTTCATTGACGTGCTATAGAATGTGTTCAAGAAAATGCCCAAAGATGCAGTATCATGCCATGGTGTAGGTTGCGCTGTGGAAAATGTATCAAATCTGCAACTTTACATAGCGCACTGCAACCCACTTCAATGCAGGGTTGTGCCTGTGTCGATCTATGCAGCTCAACAGAGATTTGACTTCTTTTACATGGGTGGCGGACTTTAAAAAGTGAACAGTGATGGTTTAGAGCCAGGATAATATTATTACAGGTACTTATATAGCGCTGTCAATTTACACGCACTTTACATATATATATTGTACATTCACATCAGTCCCTAACCCTCAAGGGGTGTACAATCTAAAGTCCCTAACTCACATTCATACATACACAGACAAGAGCCAATTAACCTACCAGCATGTCTTTGGAGTGTGAGAGGAAACCAGAGCACCTGGAGGAAACCCATGCAGGCACAGAGAGAACATGCAAACTCCAGGCAGGTGGTACCATGGTTGGGATTCGAACCAATGACCCTAGTACTGCCAGGCGGAAGTGCTAACCATTTAGCCACTGTGCTGCTCCTGAACACCTTTTCAGTCCCAAAGGGGACTTTACATTGAAATACCACACCGCAACCACCATAGCCGTGTTTGTCACACAGTTGCAGTGCAATCCTAATAACTTTAATGGGCACGTTTGGCAGGCATAATGCCTGGCAAACTTGACATTCTGAGTGATAACCAGGGGCGGACTGACCATTTGCAAACTCGGGCACTGCCCGAGGGCCCGGGGTCAGTAGGGGGCCCCATGAGATGCCCCTGGACCTTTTTCATAGGCTTTTTTGAGTTTGGGAAAGGACACAGGGGCCCCATGATCCCCTATTGCCCAGGGGCCCCATGAGTTGTCAGTCCGCCCCTGGTGATAACTGGCACACAGCAAGCTCATTAGTCTTAACTGCCCCATTTGACAGTAAGGTGGGTAAACACCTTTTTTCAACAGCCTTCTGCCAGTGTGCATGAGCCCTAAGACTGCCGTTCAGTGCAGAGGAAGTTATAAGGATGGCATTTATAACTGAATTTATGGCATGATCAACAGTAGTGTTAAGGCCAGGGGCGGACTGACCATTTGGAAACTCGGGCACTGCCGAGGGCCCGGCGTCTGTAGGGGGCCCCATGAGATGCCTCTGGTACCTTTTTCATAGGTTTTTTTGCGTTTGGGCAAAGACACAGGGGCCCCATGATCCCCTATTGCCTGGGGGCCCCATGAGTTGTCAGTCCACCCCTGGTTAAGACGAATATCTAGATGCCAGGGATTCAAATTCAGAGAAAGTTTGAGTGCCTAATCCAAACCCCATTGAAGTCAATGGGAGGAAAATGTTAAAAAAGTAAATGACCATTTTCTAGGGAAATAGGCAAGGGATTGTCAAAACACATGACAAGGAGGGCTGGGTACTGCCCTTTAGGGGAACATACCAAAGCAAAAAAAATATTTGAAATTCCATCCAACAGGAAGCAATTTTAATAATGTTTTGTGGTTAACATTTAAAATGGAAAACCCCTTTAAATATTATGCATAGGGAGTGCCCTTGACCTGCCTGTGAAGTGGTGCATCTGTATATGTATACAGCTTATTACATGAAAACCAACATTTGCAAAAAAAACAAAATAAACACTATTTAAATTGCAGGTAAATGGGAACACACTGGGATTTCCTTTATCTGTAACAGACCCTTATCTTACAACCCCAATTCCACAAAAGTTGTAAGATTAAACTCTACATAAAAACAGAATGCAATGATTTGTAACTCTCATAAACCCATATTTTATTTACAATAGAATATAGAAAACATGTCAAATGTTTAAACTGAGATGTACAATTTTAACAAAAAAAAAAATAGGTATTTTTTAAATTGATGGGCAGTAACATGTCTCAAAAAACGTTAGTGGTACTAAAAAGGAAGAGCTGGAAGAACATTTTGCAACTAATTAGGGTAATTGGCAGCAGGTGAGTAACATGATTTGGTATAAAAATCATTGAGAGTCATAGTGTCTCAGAAGTAAAGATGGGCAGAGGTTTACAAATCTAAATATTGTCAAACAATTTCAGAATAATGTTCCTCAAACTAAAAGTGCAAATACTTTAAATATATCAGTACATAATATCAAAAGATTCAGAGAATCTGGAGAGATCTCTGTGCGCAAGGGACAAAGCAAGGCAAAGACAAGGCCTGACTGAGTCAGGCAGCAATGCACTGTGGGAACTGTAGTCCAGAGCAGAGACTCTGCTGTGGTGATCAAAAGCTTTTGAACTACATTCAACAGAGAGTAGATTGCCGGGAGCAGGGGAAAGAACTACATTTTCCCGGGATGTGCAGGACCAAATGTCCCCTTGCCATGAGGGAGACTGGAGAGTGCACATCGCCATCCAATGTGCACCATCACTGGTGACCCAAGCGGGATCCAGAGTGCTGAGTTCTGGGGTACTGACAGCCAGAGTCACCTGATTGCAGAGCGGAGAGTGGATTAATTACTGTGTATGACTAGATGGTGAGCTGCAATATTGCTGAGACTGCTGACCTGCTACTGTGGAGATTTACTATCTGCTGTTAGAGAGACTGAGACCTTTAGGAACTGACCATATAGTTGTAACGTTCTCCTAGGTAGCTAGGGGGAGCTAGATTCCAATGGTTAGATAGGGGTTGAACAACAGCCCAGGTGTAATAGCCAGACTTGGGTCAAATTATGGTCAGGGCTGAGAGGCTCTGCAGGCCAGCCCCTCTGGAATTTCCCCTACTCTGGAGCTTTGGAGGAAGGCTCTAGAGGCAGTGGGTGGATCTGAGGAGTAGCTGGCTGCACTCTTGAGGGACCCCAACCAATCCCCAACGGAAGACTTGTCAAAGGGCTGGGACACCCTTAAAAGTGTTGTGGCCTGCTCAGTAGGATTGGGTTGGAGGAGAGGAAGATGGAGAAGTGAGGCTGAGATTCAGGAGCCTGGGAAGGAGCCAAAGCTGGAAGGGGCTCACCTCCAGGCAAAGGGACCTTGAAAGGAATAAAGCTGTGGACTTCACTGGCCCCTGAGAGAGGACCACCAGGTGGCAGGGAAGGAGCAGCTCAGCTGACAGGCTTGTTAGCAGCCACCTACCCAAAAGTAGCACAGGAGAAGGACTCCACGATTACTCCTACACCACCTGGGCCAGAAAGGGAAGAGAGCATTTGGGTAGGGAACCTGACTAGCTCTACACCCACAACTCTTACATTTTAAGTGGCAGCTTTGGATTCCCTTTCCCAGGGATTCCTCCAGACAGCTGGGTAAAGAAGATTTATCTGGGGTCTGGGGTGGTACACCAGGAGAGGCTGGAGAGCTCTCCAGAAGAGGATGTTTGTGTGCATAAAGACTTGTAGTATAGTTTGGGAAGTTTGTTTTCAGTTGCCATTCCCTTGGGCATCCCATACACCTCTTACCCCATCCAAGTTCTACATCCCTAATAAAGATTCAAAACAAATCTCAAGGACTGTTTTTCTGTCTTCTAATGCAAGTCTGAATGAATAGTCTGTGATGCCTGGCTGTGCAGGAATATAGGGGGACCAAATTCTCTTGCAACTCCTGCGGGGGTGGTGCCACATAGACATCTGGTAGCCTTATTGCTGCCCCCAGGCTTGACTGGGACTGTTCTCCTGTGCACTAATGGTACAATTGGGCCTGACGCTAGCTGTCTGAAGAGTTAGGACTAAGGACTGCCTCTTTACAGCTGCTACACAGAGACCTTGCTTATGTTAAGAGGTACCTCTCAGGGGAAATTGCACCACATCCTTGACATTCTTCTAGAGTGCAGTCTGAACTAGTTAGTGCCAGTTCACATATATGTGGATTGGATGTGGTTTGAAACGCATCCAATCTGCATGACGTGAAAAAAAAATTGCTTCCTATGGTGCCTGTTCACATATGTCTGGTGCACTGGCAGTGCCTGATTCAGTGTGGTTTTAAAAAGAGTCATGTACGATTTCCGAGCAGTGTGGTCTGGTTTAGGTGCGGATTACATGCTACTGACTTCTATGGGAACCATTTCTAAACCGCATATGTGTGAACAAGATAAGATCCTGTGCTAATCCTATCCTGAACCTGACATAAACCTGACATGAACCTGTGAACAACTACTGTATCAATTAGTTGTGAAAAGTGAGCTTAAATCCACACTGCACATGTGTGAATCAGCTCTTAAAGCTAGTTATCATTCACGTTTCAGTTAATGCGGATACAGTGCATCCAGAAAGTATTCACAGCGTTTAACTTTTGACACATTATGTTATGTTACAGCCTTATTCCAAAATAGATTAAATTCTTTATTTTCCTCAACATTCTACAAACAATACCCCATAATGACAATATGAAAGAAGTGCATTTTGAAATCTTTGCAATTTATTAAAAATTGAAAAAAACTAAATGTACATAAGGTATTCACAGCCTTTGCTCAATACTTTTTTGAAGCACCTTTAGCACCAATTACAGCCTCAAGTCGTTTTGAGTATGATGCTACATGTATGATGGGGAGCGTCGGTGCACAGTCATTTTCAGATCACTCCAAAGATGTTAAATTGGGTTCAAGTCTGGGTTCTGGCTGGGCCACTCCAGGACATTCACAGAGTTGGCCCTTACCCACGCCTTTGTTTTGTAGGCTGTGTGCTTAGGGTCGTTGTCCTGTTGAAAGATGAACCGTCGCCCCAGTCTAAGGTCCAGAGCGCTCTGGAACAGGTTTTCATCAAGGATGTCTTTGTACATTGCTGCATTCATCTTTCCTTTCATCCCGACTAGTCTCCCAGTTCCTGCTGCTGAAAAACATCCCCACAGCATGATGTGCCACCACGCTTCACTGTAGGGATGGTATTGGCCAGGTGGTGAGCAGTGCCTGGTTTCCTCCAGACATGATGCTTGGCATTCAGGCCAAAGAGTTCACTCTTTGTTTCATCAGACCAAAGAGTTTTGTTTCTCATGGTCTGAGAGTCCCTCAGTGCCTTTTGCCAAACTCCAGCGGGCTGCCATTTGCCTTTTACTGAGGAGTGGCTTCCGTCTGGCCACTCTACCATACAGGCCTGATTGGTGGAGTGCTGCAGAGATGGTTGTTCTTCTGGAAGGTTCTCCTCTCTCCACAGAGAAACGCTGGAGCTTTTTCAGAGTGACCATCAGGTGCTTGGTTACCTCCCTGGCTAAGGCTCTTCTCCCTTGATCACTCATTTTGGCCAGGTGGCCCGTTCTAGGAAGATTCCTGGTGGTTCCAAACTTCTTCCATATATGGATGATGGAGGCCACTGTGCTCACTGGGACCTTCAATGCTGCAGAAATGTTTCTGTACCCTTCCCCAGATCTGTGCCTTGATACAATCCTGTCTCAGAAGTCTACGGAAAATTCCTTAGACCTCATGGCTTGGTTTGTGCTCTGACATGCACTGTTAACTGTGGGACCTTTTTATAGACAGGTTTATGCCTTTGCTAATCATGTCCAATCAACTGATTTTCCTATAGGTGGACTCCAATCAAGTTGTGGAAACATCTCAAGGATGATCAATTGGAACAGGATGCACCAAAGCTCAATTTTGAGTGTCATGGCAAAGGCTGTGAATATTTATGTACATGTTTTTTTTTTTTTTATTTTTTTTTTTTTAATAAATTGCAAAGATTTCAAAACAAACTTCTTTCACGTTGTCATTATAGGGTATTGTTTGTAGAATGTTGAGGAAAAAAATTAATTTAATCCATTTTGGAATAAGACTGTAATATAACAAAAGTTAAGCGCTGTGAATACTTTCTGGATGCACTGTATACAGAGTTTTTGCTGACTTTGCTGATTTAGTAGTTGACTTTGGCAGTGATTGTACTGTCTTGCAGACTGTGTTTGAACCTACCTTCTGTGTGCTTATTTATGCTCAAACCACCATTTATTCTAATTTTTACCAATGCATTGTGTTCATTTACAACTAAACGGTCTTGTGTCTATTTCCTGATGCTAACTCCCAGTCGAGTTAAAGGTATCCACACTTGTGTTCCTATCAGTGCTTACAGCAGTTTTCATTCAACTGGGTGTGCCAGAGAGACTGAGGTTATTTACAGAGTCAAGGG